ACATACCGAGTAAATTTTTGGTCAGAATATTTATTTTCAAGATTTATTTTGCCAAATATGAACCAAGTCGGTGCAGCCGTTTAGTAGTTTAGTGAAATACATTGTAAAGAGAACTGTATGAAATTGTAAAACGCGACGTCTCAGATTTCTTAATTTTTTTGGCAGCAACAACGAAAAGTTTTAATTTTTTTTAGCGAAAAACCTTCCACACAGAAAAAAAAAGTTTGTGGTTATATCAAGGCGAAATTTTGAGAACGGTCCGTTGCTAACTCTAAATATAAACTACGACACACTGGAAAAAGTTAATACGTTCAAATACTTAGGAATAATAATCGACGATAAACTAAAACAAAAAAAAAAAAATAGATTCTATATTTTCAATTAGATGCAAGATGTACATCGGTGAAAACTGCATTTAACTCCATACATTAGCTTTTGCGTGATGCGCTTACAAACATACAGACAAACATACCAAAATTTTATATTTGGCTTCTGTTGATCTAATAAACCCCCTATTAATTTTTCTTTAACATATTCTCAAATACTCTCGTTTGATTCCCATATGGCAACACTTAGTTTATATTATAAATTTAACTGAATTAAAGTTTTCAAACCCGCTTCAAGAATATTTCATTTATTTTACAAATTTTAATGAATACAATTTTTCAATCAGTTGGCAAATCCCCTAAAAATATTTTAGCATTAAAATTTCCTAGCCTCTTTAGTTTGATGCCAATATTGCAATATTTAATTTATGCTATCAATTAAATTAAATTAAAGTTTTCAAATAGGTGGCAACCTTCCCCAAAAATATTTTCAGCTGTAAGCCTTTGTAAATTTCTTTCTTTTGACAGCCATATTGCAGTATTCACTTTACCGTATCAATTGACCTAAACTTAAACACAGGTGGCAACTCTCTAATTTCTTCTTCTATATTGGAAGCTAGATCTCTAGCGATACATCGGTGAAAACTCTGCATTCAATTCCATGTTTTCGACTGATGTGCGTACAAATATACAGACAGACAGAGATTCAAAAATTGTTTATTTGGCTTCTGTAGCTTAAATAAAAACCCACCATATTAATTTTTCTTTAATATCTATAAGGTACAGACATCGACCTGTTACAATTTTATTATATGTATAGATGTAGATATAGATTTCATTTATTTTATCAATTTAATACAATAAAATTTTTCAAACAGGTGGCAGCCCTCCCTAAAAATATTTTCGGCAATATAATTTCCTAACCCCTTTCAGTTTTATACCCATATTACAATATTCAATTTATCTTATAA